AGCAGTGTGTTAATATTTTTCATGATCGCTTGTAACCCAAGTATAATATAATTGGCATTCAATTCTTTTACGGGATATGCATATGATTTTCGAAAATTTGAAGTTTGGTGGGAGAAGTACCAGAATAAATGGAAGAGAAGAATATCAGAATATGCATAATGTGAAGAACTCCGGACATTGTTTTTCCCTCTTTAAGAGAATTATTATTATTATTTAAAATTTTGATCTTTTGTGTGCAAGGTACGTGCATGAATGGCTCAACATGGCTCAATCCGCGAATTTAAATTTAAATGTACCTAGCAAAGACACGAATCACACGAATTGTAATCCAGTTAAGAAAGGGATAACAACGAGAGAGAGAGAAATAGTAAGGATAAATGATAGGGAACTCAAGACATTTGAAAATAAATGTATCATGCGAATATATGAAACATATAGGCAAAAATAATTTCGGAAAATACAGATAAAAGGATTCGCTGTACAGAAACTTGAAATGAAGCGAAATAACTTTTGCCCACAATTTCCATATGTTTGGAAATTTACTCCCGAGACTTTCTTTTTTGTGGAGAGTATTAAAATAAATAAATAGGGTAAAAAATGGTAAATTTTTCATCCCATTGTAAAACCTCCAAATAAATTCATGATCAGCATAAAATTCTAAGTCGATGTGACGATGTCCGTCTGTCTGTTAAATCCGCCATATAGTCCACATTATTTTGTATTATGTCTAGAATGGTTGGTATTAAAAAAACGATAAATCGGTCCATATAGCAGTACCTCCCGATACTAAGTATTTTGATGATATGTATCAACGGAATTGTTCCAAATTTGGTATTAAGAATTTGTAATGGGTTCCTTTCTGGTCTGTATAGGTCCATGATTTTTGTAGCGCCCATATAACAATACCTTTCAATATTCGGTATTTTGACTATATAGGCCACATTCTTTAACGAATTTGTCCAAAATTTGATATTTGTAGTTATTAATGGGTTCTAGGCCGGTGGTGGAACACTGTATATATAGGTCAACGTTTTCCAATAGCGCCCATATAACGAATTTGTTTCAAATTTGGTATTTGTAGCTCATAATGGGTTCTACAACCGGTGTCAAAACACCAACAGATATTTTTTGAATTGATTCTTAATTTTAGATCGTTTTTGTGATAAATTTACTTTCAAAATCCTGACCACACCCTTTTTACTCTCTCTCTCTCCTTCTCTCTCTCTCTCTCTCTCTCTCTCTTTTAAATTTATCTTTAGACCTATAATTTCGATGAGACACAATTTGGCCGTATCAAATGATATATACCTTCGGTAGCCATAAGGATGAGGGTATCCAGATAAAATGTCAACATTTTTTTAAAGATTTTCCAAAGTAATCCGCTTTCCATACTGGCTTTAGTGAATGTCCACCAGGACATGTGGCAATTTTTTGCCCCTCTTTTCAACCTTAACTAACCCAACCATCGTTCTTGATTTAAAGACGTACGCTTCTATGCTGAGATTTTTCGTTGGGACGTTAATGAATCTCTAAACGAGAGAGGGAAGAGAAGGGGAAGCCTGCATGAATTTTGAGGTATTCTATAATTCATTTATAATAAAACGTCAAATGCCAATGCTGAATTTTGTTCTATTCTCTAATGATGATGATGTCTTTCAAAATCAATCAATTCGTGGGAAAATATTTCGTTAGATTTTTTTCTCGAATATCTATAGAACAAAAATGCTTTTTTAATGTATTTAAATTTATTTTCTATGTTACTCTTATTGTTTAGAGAAAAATTATTAAATTTATTTACGCAGTAAATTAGCTGAAATCAATGGCAAACTAATTTGTGTACGTGAGTTATTAATTGAAATTGAAATGTTGAAAATGTTAATAGCTAATTTAACCTTTTGCTGTTTCTGTTAATAAACTTGTTCAGTTGTCGGACAATGGACAATAACATTAAATACAAAAGTGAAGGGGGCATATTTGGTTCGGCAAACGCGTATAAAATCGGCTTGTTCTTTTGACTCGGATTCCATATGCTGTCTGGGAAATGTGGGAAAACGTAGAGAATAATTATGGCCCAGACTCCAAATAATTTAATTAAGGGATATTTTTGGATAATGCAATCTTAAGGTAGAGTTACGTTAACAATTGCAAAGGCAATTGTATTTCTAGTACGCTAAAATGTACTACAATTGCAATATATGTTATCAAAATTAAAGAGCTCTTAAAAACTTTAAATTTCGTATTGCAAAAGGGGATTCCCCTGAGAACGCCCTTAATAATTATATAAAACCCAATATCCCACAAATGTATCTTTAATTTTCATAACTTTTATCTATGGAAATTAATTTATAGCAGAATATTATATTTTGCATAATGTTAATAATAAACAACTTTGTAACTTTTTCCACTTCTTTCTTTCTCCCTCTCTCTCTCTGTATTTAAATCAAAACCGCCTGATTTGAATAACTAATGAGATTCGATTACTGTTTCTGTTTCTCCATCGAATTTGCACAAAACATTTGCTATTTCTATTTTGGCCTTTGCTTCGGTCAGTCCAACGGCTTCCCTTCATTCATTCATCGTCTTATGAATGAAATTATCTATTCAATGAATGACAGAAAAACAATTAAAAAAATGAGAATATTCAAATATGGCAACACGAGAGGAAACATTTAAAGACAATAAATTACTTGGCATTGCCTAAACGGCCACCGCGATGGGCCCAATGAGATGAGGACAGAAACATGTGTAATATGTCCATAAATGAAATTGCTCCTCTTCTGTCTTGCGAAAAGAATTAAAGTAAAACAAATATGAAAGATTCCGACAAAATGTTGACAAGGCAACACGCAATATTATCTACGCATAACAGATCATGGGAAACAATTTTAAAAGGCGCGACAACTTTCAGGCATTTGCGTACACGCACATCCAAAACAAAAATGATAATAAAAAAATTACAACAAAAAAATTATTCGAGTTCAAAATTTGAATTAATTATGTCGTGGAAGTGTTAAGTTTTCGAATAAATGGTGATATTGAAAGGGAAAGTTTTTTTCCGTCGGAGGGAGAATTTCAAATGTAATTAATGGCATATCAAAACAGAGAGAAATTAATGAGGCATCTTGGGTTTTAAAATGAAAAAAGCAACATTTTCATTTCAAAATTTTAATTTCAATTTTAATATTTTGAGATCTTAAGTGTCGTTTAAAATGATGCGATTATGATTACCCAATAGAATATCCTACTATCGAGGACGGAACTTGCAAAGGGTGATTTTTATATCCTAAACCATATAGGGTGAGATGAAAAAACTGCAATCAACTTTAGACTGCTGTTATTTCTAAGCCACTAAGCCATTGTTTACAAGCATACAAAAACATTTTGGTGAGAATTTTCCAGAAAAAAAGTTATTCGTGATGGAATTCAAGCGTGATAGTGTGATTTCTTTATATTTGGCTGGAAAACCACAAGTGGCTATCGCTAGAGCACTCCAGCATTTAAATGTGAATAAATCTTTTGTGTTTCGTAGCATCGCTCGTTACCGTGATACTGGTAGCGTAGCCCGACGTCGAGGAATTGGACGGAAGAAAACAGCAACATAAGCAGAAATGGTTCGAAAAGTAAAGAAACGACTTGATCGAAACCCGCGTCGCAATGGCCGAAAAATGTCTCGTGAGCTGAATATATCGCAATATTCCATTCGGCAGATATTGAAAAATGAGCTCGGGGTAAAGCCATTGAAATTCCAAAAAGTGCAAGAACATACATCGCAACAGAAAAGAGCTAAAGAGTTGCTTCGCTTGGTCGGGAATGGGCCAAATTACCAATTCGAACAAATCTAAACTTATTCTAAACTTTAATGCTATTTCCGACATTTTTTGCTTTCATTCAATAAAATTAAAAAAAAGATAAAATTTTTGGAAGTGCTGTTGTAAGATTTAGAAGATTTTCCAAAAGAATTTTAGTTTTATTTAATTCATTGGTTCCTCTTCTATTGAGCTTTCGATCTCGTCACTTGGGCAAAAAGTTTTTTTTTTTAATAGAAGTTATTTTGTAATAACTTCTGGGGATAATATCCCAGACAAAAAACAAGGGAACTTATGAGGATTGGTGGATCTTTCCGAAACCTAGGTATTCCCTGTCTTATCCCCTGGTAAACATTACCATCGTTTTCTACTAATAAACTAACGATTTTAGTGTTTAAGTCCCTCACATTCGTAATATACACTCCACAAGAATTTGGATATAGCTCCAATATAGATCTTCAATCGATTGCGAGTAAATATGCCTCCGATATATTAGTTCCCTCTGAAACCAAATTATAACTGCTCTACAGCCAAATGTTCATAGGTGGTATGAAAAGAATTATGTAGTTACTCTATACCTCCCCTACTTTACTTTTATTTCATTAATTCAACATTTTTATAGAGTTTGAACATTTCAAAGCCTAACTCTTTAACCTGGAGTACCACTTGTGCAATCACTTGACGAATCGATGGAAGTAAAAGTGGGACACCCACACACTTGAATAAAATGAGAGAAGGCGGCACGCTTCATTTCAATTGGTTTTGAAGTCATAACTGCCGTCAAAGAAAAGTGCGTAGCAATTATAAACTCATTTAAAATCCCCCAAAACTTAATACCACCCATGTAATTAGTTTCATTTGTTTGCAACCAAAAAAAGATCAAGATCTCAACAAAAAAAAGACAAGAAATCAAAAAATGGCCACAAAATAATGCCATCAAATGAAATTAAATGATGACGTAGTCAAGCCATGGATTTGTGATGATGATGTTTCAGGTCAATTGCAGCAATGGTTACGTCCGCAGAGAGGAACAAGATGCCAGTAATGATGATAAAAGTTAGGAAATGCGACAACATGCCATTCACCGCATTAAATTAAAATCGCATTAAAAAGCCAAAAAAAAACGCTCCCACCAAAAATAACAATTAAATGTTAAACAAAAAATCAAATAAATTAAATAAAACAAATAATTACCTGTATATTGTGAATTGATTGAACTCAAATTGTCATCGCTTTCACGACTCATGCTGCTTGTGTCTGCAAAAGAACATGGAAAAAAAGAAAAGAACGCAAAAAGGCAAACGATAAGCAAAAAGGCATAACAAAAATAAAAAAATAGGTAAAACAAAATTCATGCAAAATTAAAATATAAAAATAACAAAATTATGATAAAAACAATAAAAAATTCTTAGAGTTCTCTTGTAAAATTGGTTATTTTGGGTATTAACCCCCTTTTGGAAAAAATAACCACACGTGCAAGTTGCCGCCTCTGGCTGTTAAAAGAAACCGCTATTCTTAAGCCATTTTTTTACAGCTTGTAACAGCAACAATGTTAGCAAAATTAAGACAAAATTTAAAGATCGGATTTCTTTTGACATTCAAACACAACAATTAACATTTTAAGAACGGATTATGGCCAAAATCGTGAGTGGAGCGGTGTTAGAACTTTGGTTAACTGTTGCAAATGTTTTTTTTTTCAAGCCGCAGTCACGAAATTTACTTACCAACAACAGCCGGCAGCACCGCCAACATTACCGGGCAGCAATAGCCATTTTGTGGTCAAAACTGCTGCGACACAGCCACACAATCACAAAAACAATAATAAATCATTTGCATCAATTTTATTTTAATTGAACCTTAAGAAAGCAACAACAACAAACACCTTGTTATTTTGGTTATTTTTTTGGACACGCTCAGTTATTTATCAGTCCACTTGCAAGGCGAAAACAACTTAATTACGATTTTGATATGCAAATTGATTTGCGTCTTTAGTGTTCTCTCTCCACGCCACCCGGGCGAAGAAACTCGAAATTAGGTGGGCTCACATTCTGTTATGGAAGGCCTAATGATCATTCTGATCGTAAAATCTCAATTTAGAATTTATTTACTTGTGTCTTGAATGGCAAGAAAACAATGACACAAGCCACAGCCGACCGCGCGTTCGTCTATCCGTCGTAATGACAAATATGTTCTCTCACGAAAACAGGTGTCTAATTTCTAAGCCCAAAGTAAAATGCGTGGGCCATTTCCAGAATTGAATAGAATTGTGAAATTATTGAAAGTTTTGTAGGTGTTTTGTTTGTTATGGGGGAATGTAAATCACGCCATCTATCGTCCAAAATGCAATTAAGATTCAGTTGCCAAATAAGAAATGGGGGATGACATCTTATTGTTGGCTAACAAAATAAACAAAAAACAAATCTCGGGTGATTAATTCAACATTGGAAGATTGTATTGCAAATATAATAGAAATTTAATAAAAATGAAAACCCGTTAACACTTTTGCATCAAAAGACTATGCCGTAGTTTTGGTTTACCGGATAATCCACAGCTGCATCTTCGTAAGCAATTTTAATTTTATTCATTCCATAATGGCACTTTACCCCTAGATGCACCCGAAATCAGGACGTTTTCATTTGCTTTACATTTAAACTTTGGTTTTAGCTGAGCAATAAGTATTGAACAGCGTTATTTTTGGAATACAAATATAAACATGATTCTAAATTTGCGGGTTTTTTCTATATGTGTAATTCGGGGTTTTTGATGCTGATACACTTCCACCCATCCACATTAAAACGTTTTCAAATTTGAACACCGCCCTACCAAGACTATCGAATCATGTTTTTTTTTCTACTCAAACACGCCAGATAAATTTAACAAGTACAAAAGCAGCTAAGTTCGGCCGAACTGAAGTTTTTATAGCCTCCACCATTTGGAAGGAATTTGAAAAATTTTCAAAAAAAAAAAAAAAATCCGTCGAAAAATACCACCAAAATGAAAACCTTTATATGGGGGATATACGAAGACGAGGTGCTGCATAAGGCTGTAGTAACGATTCTGAACTTTAAATACGAAATTTTAAACAATTCCGGTGAATAAATACCGAATAAAGGGAGCTACCGTTATGTGGGGACTATATTTCCGACATTACGAACTTTATATACGTAATTAAAAACAATTCCGGTGAATAATGTCGCTAAAATCATGTAAATACCGAATATCTGGAGATACCGTTATATGGGTGTTATGCTAAAACTTGGAAGAAGGAACTCCTTATATGGATTTTAAGATAATTCCATTGAAAAAAAAAAATTAGCTACAATCATAAAAATACCGAATATTGGGATGTACCGTTATATGGGGGATATACGATATCGTGGACCTATATACACACATCTTATCCGGGGGTAATGTACTCATGTCAGACCATTCCATTGAAAAATGTGGCTAAGATCCTCAAAATATCGAATATCGGGGGTACCATTGTATGGGGGCATGCGATATCGTGGACCTTATAGACAAAGGCAAAGAACTCACAGAGAACTCCTTGTGTAGAATTTCAGACAGTTCAATTGAAAAATGTTTATTTTGATAACCCCATTCTGTCAAAACCAGAGGACATATTTGCTAATTTTCACTCGGGAGCGAATCTTGCTCGAAGAGTGTCCGTTTTTATGGAGTCTACTTACAACTCATTTGTTTTGTGTGGCAACTCCCCGAGACACCCCTGTTAGCAAAATGCTCAAAATAGATTAAGAGTCTGCTCTAAGAGTGAAAATGAGTGGAAAAATATATTGGTATGCTGATATGTGGCGTGTGTGCAGCAGCAAGAGTGGGGGTAAGGTGGGGGGAATGGTGTGAACCTGTTACCGAAAAAATACACTTATATAGAAATACAACAAGAGTATGACAAAAACCAATAGAGTGATCGGTTAGGATAGAATCTGCTTGATTTCGAACGAATTTTGTTTCCACTCAAAAATCGAGAAAAACATGATCATAACTCCTGTTCGAGCTACATCGAAAAAGTGAGTTTACTCGGTTTTTCATTGCTCCAAGAAGTACTTTGACTCGAGCGAGTTTTTCGCTATTTCGTTACCGAAAAACGCCCATATATAAATACAGCAAGGGTATGACAAAGACTAATAGAGTAATCGGCTAAAGTAGAATCTGCTTGATTTCGAACGAATTTTGTTCCCACTAAAAAATCGAGAAAAACATGATCATAACTCCTGTTCGAGCTACATCGAAAAAGTGAGTTTACTCGGTTTTTTCTGCTTCAAGAAGTACTTAGGCTCCACTTCGAGTGACTTTCTGTCCTTGTATAATATCGAGCGAGTTTTTCGAGCAAGTATGATCGAAGAGAGTGAGTCTAACAAGAACTTCATTTTCTACTTTTTCGTTTTTGCAGGCAGCAATGCGATTACTTCTGTTTGAGAAATAAGAGTGGGAATCGAAATGCTTGGATCTGAGTAAGAATTTAAAGAAATAAAAGAATGCAGTTAAGAGTAGAAATTTCTCGGTTTCGAGAACATTTTACTCCCACACAAAAATGAACAAAACCATACTCGCAATTATTCATTTTTCCCTCTACTCGAATTCGAGAGAGAGAGAGAGGGAGGGAGGTAGAAATTGTTGCTTACTTTAGAAGGCTTTGTGATAGAAGAATACAATAATACAGAGATACATTTTTTTACTTCTTTCGGAGTTAAGTTATCTTTTTGGTTGGACCATGCTTCAATTGATTTTGTCCAATCGGTTAAAATCAATTTTTGATTCGTAATTTCCAAATAAGTCTTTCAAAAAAAATAAATGTTATTTTAACTTCTCGAAGGTGACATGTAGTCCCCTACATCACAAAAAGCTATCCAGTTCACTCCCACAGTCAGGGAGCAGATCCGACGAAATATTTTCAGAACATTTTGCATGTGAATATCATGCTTTGCCTTCAAACTTATTATTTTGTAATAAGATTTCTTTACTGCATATAGTTTATTTTTTTTTAAGCAAAGTCTTCCAGAGCGGATTGTCTTCCAGCAACGTTTTCGTCCAGAAATAATCTTTCTTTAGCCATGTTTGAAATTTACTTTCTTGACAAATTCCTATTTTATTTTTTACTTATTCTCTCAACGCATATAGGTCCTCATCCGCATAATTACTAAGCAGAATTCAAAGCTCCCAATATGGGTCAAAGTAAACTATAACAAAACTAAATGAATTCATTATAATTTGAAATTCTGGGAATTTAATTCTTTTGAATTTAATTTTCAAGTAGAATACTTGAAAAGTGACCTCTCAAAAAATGGCGATAATATCTTTTCTGCTACACGCTTTTTGACATTTTATACGTCTTAATGTGTTTAAATGAAACCGGTGTACCAGAGGATAAACTTGTCTCCGACTCAAGAACTCTAGAAAAACAACAACAATAAAAACAATTATTTATTTATTATTACGCAGGAGGTAAACCCCGTTTCAACGTAAACAAATTAAAATAAAAAAATATATATTTAGCCAAAAATTATTACGATAATGCGAAACAGGCTGATGCTGCTGCTGATTATCACCAGTTTCGAGTGTCGATTTTTTTTATTGTCTTAAGTGCCAGGCAAATATTTTGTTTACGGCTCAGTTAAAGTCTGCTGCCATTCAATGTTTTGATGGTTTAAACAGAAACATGTTTTCTTAACAATTATTTTTTGACTTGTTTCTAAAGACTATTCGTTTGTTTGGTTGACATGAATAGTAAAAAAATGAGATAAACAACAGGAGAAGAAGAAGAGAAAAATAATTCGCTTTTATTTTCTTGTTAAAAGTTACGAAGAACTCTAAACAAATAATTAAGTGGCAAGCGTGCGAAGTTCCCCGTCCAGGGGGAGGGGGTTGTTGGCGGAGCAAAATAAACAAGAAACCATAGACAATTAGTGACGCTAAACGAAACTGATCAAAAAATATTCGAGAATATGGCTTTAACAAGCTAAAGATCAACCTGACACCGAAACGAGATCTCATTAAAGCCGATGGCTTGCCGCAGCTGATGCTGCAGCTGCACGCAAATGCCATAATTAAAATACCATATTAACCCCAAAAAAACAAATGAAGGCAAAATAACAAAAATATAAATGCATTATATACATTTGATTCCAAACACATATTATGACCACATTAACAATATATTTTGGATCGAAAAAATAAACAAAAAATAAAAAATCAAAGGTATTTCACGTCCAATGGAATTCACCACCCGTTCGTCGTTT